GACCAAACGTTTCCAGGTGCACCGCGCGTTGGTGTTCAAAGCGACGCGTGGGCCATTGGATTTTAATGGGGCCTGTATGATCTATTGGCTACGTTTTCACGTCAGCGTCACCTACGAAGCCTAAAAAAGTTCATTCGAGTTCAATTCAAGTTGAGCAATGTAGCCGTTCATACTCAGGACGAGCTAGCTGTATAAACCATCCCTTTGATATGATCATTTTACTATCGAAGTTCACACATTTATGGCTATGATATGATCTGGTAACTACGGTAATGCACTTTCCTTTGATTAATGTTGGTGCGCGACAAATTAAAAATGCTTCTTCAGGCTTCTTCCGTTCCAAACTCGTATGACAAAATTAAAGCAGCTATATCAAGCGTCAGATTTTCATGAGCCGCTCTGAGTTGTGCACTTGACAGAAGGATACCCAAATCGCACATTGCACTGGCATTCAGCAAGGAAGGACATGTACATTCATAAGGTTCCTTCGGGCATTGATAAATATCTAATGTCTGAATCAGCGAAACACTTCTACGCGAGTGGAGTTGCGAACCTCTGAACGTACACTTTTTTCCACTGTCCAGTCGAATTAACTACAAGTAACGTTGTACCATCAATAAGAATGTCGATAGCTCATTGGAAGAGCAACTAGCTTTCAACCATAGGGTACCGAATTCAGATCCTATGGGTAGCCATTTTTGCGGTTTTACCAATTTCCTTATTATCTGAAAATCATCTCAAACAACTAGTATCACTGCTTCCCTTTGATTGCTCGATTCGGCTGACAGGGCAAAATCTGTTGGTCCGATGGTCCGTAATTTCTTTAGCGGAACCGTTTCTCACAAGGGAAGGATAGTAACTTGGATTCGCCTTTTGAGATGAGACACATATATCTGGAATCAGCTTTGAACGCTGATTCCAAATTTGCTGTTCCTAGCTGCTTAGCATTATTCCGAAGCGAGTTATGGGCTTGCTGTTATGAGTAACTAACGAACTTCTGAATGTTGTAAGACGGTGTGTATACAAAAATCTGCTCGAAAAAAGTGCTAGGATGTTTAGATAACATCAGACTAATTCTTTCGATCTGAAGAGGGAGCATTATACAATTGCAAAACCACATAGACGTCGACACCGCAGCATCAGTAGGCCGAGGAGCACGCAAACTTCGCATAGAAAAGAGACCATAACTCGCTTCAGGATAAGCTAGATACAACATATTTGGAATCAGCGTTCCAAGCTGATTCCAAATATGTGAGTCTCATCTCAAAAGGCGAATCTAATTTGGTATCCTTCCCCTGTCAGAAAGCGGATATGTGGTTGGTTAGTGTCCCGAAGGGCTCAGTGGTACATCTCCTTGCTGGGCGCCAGTGCAACCCGGCATGCTTCCCTTGTCAGTACAGTTGCTCGATCATATCCTTAAAGGCAGTGGTTCGGCAAATCTCAACCTAGTCAAATTTTCGCTTACCTTGGGTTATTCAATGCGCTGATCCCGAAAATCCACTTTTGCGAGCTTGAAAACGGCGAAAACGAGCGTTTTTCAATGCCCTTCCCTTCGGAATTGGACGAGTGGAGCAAGGCTGATGACGCTGGATCGTTGCGGGACCCAATGGTTATAGCATTGCGGCGGGCAGCCTCCAATGATGAGGAGGAAATTGCCAACTCGTCCGGGAGCGTGTAAGATTGGCCTGCGCGTGTAAGTTTGAGAGCCATTCAACAGGGAAGGCATGCTGTGCAACCAGGATTGCACTGTTTTCATACTTGGGCAATAAGGAACCTATCGCATTGAAATCCTGAGTTGTTGTGTTTGCCGATCCACTGCCTTTAAATAATTACTGTTGAGCAGAAGTGCATGGCGAGAATTTACTGAGGCAAAGCTTTTTAAACACTCTGATGTACAAAATGATAACAACGGGCAGGGAACAGTGAATCTTCAATGTGTTCACAAACCTCTGTATAGTAAATCACACTGTTGTGTTTAAAGTCTCACCGCTTAGGAGGTGCGCAAAAGCTGAGGAGTCACATGATTACTCAGTTTCTCATAAAGCTAAGAGAATTTATCAGTCGCGTGCAAGTCAAGTATGAGCATATTCGGAGTCTTCGGCTATGCTTTCTTATGGAGTTTCTTATGAATGATCAATGGAATCCCAAAAGGCGATACAGTAAGGCGATAAGGTATGAGTTCTTCTAAAAGAGACGGTGGATTCACATGCACATTTGCCAATTTTCATACCCCCACTTCAACTGTACGATTTTTCACAATGATTCAGTCTACAACCGATCCTGGATATTATAAACGCTACGCACATATGTAACGATTTCTTGCAGCAAAAAAGCATAGTTTACGTGATCGTAAAAATCTGCAGTATTGAATAATTTTGAATTGAGCAATCATGTACTGCATAAAATCCAAGTAGATGGAATGAGTGATAATAAAATTGCATATTTGCCATAAGATATCTAAGCAGAGCTCAGTAAATAGTCCTTGTGCCATAGGCCTAAGGCATACCTCGCGCGATTCCGGTCGCTGCGCGATTTGGCATAACAGCGACTCTTTGTAATTCACAGTTAATGCGCTTCCTTTGGCCAGGACTTGACCCATTTGCAACAACTTACACAAGCTACCCGCCTATGCGTTCGAGAAGCGCGCACGATAAATCTGTAGAAATCTGGCAAATCGCCAAGTCGCTTGAAAGCGGCGATTTGGCCGAATCGCGTCAGGTATGCCTTAGGCCATATGCGATTTTACTTGAGCACATATTTCACTTATTGCAATTACTCTGCATGGCATATTGCAAAACGATATGAATACTGAGAAGTTCTTCATGTAGGTTCTTTGCGCATTGCTTTGTAAGCTTGCTTTTGAATATAAATCGAGTTTTAAGCTGATCAACAATGGTGAATTGTCCTAATATCACTACACCATTGAGAAATTGCTACCCAGTAGGAAAGACTTTTTTTATTCAGTTGTTTCCAAACGAACTCGAATGCTAAGAGGTTATGGTAAAAAAACTAACAGTAGCTTCATACAAGATTTTGGAAAGAGTCACAGTTCTATAGGAGTTGGCAGATTTTTGTTAAACATAACTTCTTTGAATAGGAATCAGTCTTCACGCTGACCAGCCGTGGTTATCTGTGACGAAAATCTCTGTAATACTGAAAAATTTTTACCCTGTAGAAACAAGATTTTTTTTATTTGGATGTTTTTATTCAGAACATATCACAATTTCTTTGGTTGTGACAGCGGTCTATTGAGAAATCCTCATCGTACGAAATATTACTCCTTTTGTTAGATCATAACTGTGTTAAAATGGGCCATTGTGATGATTTTTTGTCCTGGACGGGCTTCATTCATAGCTTCTTTGAAACATCTTGGATATTTCGCGAGGAAGTTTATTTCCTGGTTGCGTTGATCCATCAACTCTATCAAATCCGCTCTAAACGCCGTTTTTCGCGCCTGGCGGTCAGTAAGACTTCCTTGGTCCACATAATAAGTTGATGAGTGTAATAGAGGACATCCTTGACCCGGACTGAGATCGATCTGGCACGCTGCGCACGGTAACAGCCTTTGCTCGCTTTTCGGTTTTTTCGCGAATCAGTCGAAAGTCTGCAAATCTCATCTCCGTCATCTAAAAACTCCCTTCTCTTGCACAAAGCCATTGATCGCTTTCTGTTCATCAGCTCTTCCTCCGTGATGTTTCATACAGACTGCAGATTATAACTATCGGAAAATCTATTCACTAGTAAACATAAAACTCATAATTTTCATCCCATTCTGAGCTTTTGCTTGTCCACAGTGAATCTAGAATGCCTGCTGAAATACTTAGGAACATTTCTCATACATGCCTCTTCTCTAAGCTATCGCAGCAGTCTCTAGAAATTATTGATAGAAATAGATAAACAGATAGAAAAAGGGTGAAAAACTTAGCTTGTGGCGGCCATGAATCGCCAAAAACCATTTTATCTCTATCCTTGCTAATTTGACTATTTGTTGTGTACGAAAGAGAATGGTTACATAGAACAGGAGCTCATTAGACAGTTGAATAGCTTAGAATTTTTGATGTCTGCAGTTTCTGGGCCCATCTTTTTCCTTTTATTATTAACACATTACGACCCAAGCCTTTCTCGGCCCAGCCAACATTTTTCAGATTAATTCAGGCACAATTCCATTTACAGTATACCTACAGTAGCGCTGGAATGCTGGCAAAAACAATAGAGGTTGTATCTAAATCCAGTATGAATGAAAACTTCCAGAGTCGGTTTGACACAACTTAACAGCCATTTCAACGAGAGTCAAGGTGTGTCAAGCCTTGACATACCATGTGTGTCAAGCAGTCGTCAATGTGTTAAGTGAAAGTTTTGCTAGTTTGAATGATTTGCCATGGCTTCAAGATACTGAAACATACAAATACGCAGAAATCTAAACAAATCTTAGCGGGCATTCATTTTGTATATTTCTGAGTAATATAAATGCAGCAATGAGTACTTTGTAGCTAATGCCCTCTCAATGCAAACTTAATATCTTCGCTTGCTATAATCTATGCAATCTGTCTGAAGATCGCAAGCGGGATATCAAATCTCCAATCAAGATCCTGTTTTCCTTGCAGTTGTTATCTGCTGGCACTTATTAGGATGTGGATTTATATCCGCTGCATCTAGCTTATGCCCTCCCTATAAAAAAACATTGGCATGTTGAATGGGTGCGTTATTACCTTCTCCGTCACCAAACTTGCATGATTATATCAACTCATCTATCTATCTTGATATCATACGAGGAATTATTTTGATTGTGATTTGCTCTATAAGATTTTAGCTAGTCTGTAATGTCAAAACATTTGATAAAGTAGGATGCTCAAATCTCAATTATATATGTCCCACCATCAAACTCATTTATTTGATTTTTTCTAGACAAAATATTCAAAGTAATGAAAACTCGTATTCTACACAATTCACACATATTCGTTTGCTCTCCCAATCCATCGTTTTGAAAAATTTCTTTTTAGATGCTTGGTCTCAGCTTATTATTACTGTTATTTGGCTACTCTACAGCCGATATATTCACTGCCGTAGCGGACATGGAGCGAATGCTCACTGGAGAGAAAGGAATCACAAATGTTATCGAAAGCTACATCCAACAAGAACAACAACGGCTAGACGAACTCAAGAGGTGAAATATCTTTGCCCATACGGATAATCCGATCATTTGCTGCTGTGCTACCCTTGACAATAAATTACGGACGAGAACGTCTGTTGGGAGATGTGCTCATTCGCCAGCAGCCGTTCACTTTGCCAGAAAATCGCCGGTTATATGGGTCAAATTTCCTTAGCTCTCGTTTTTCCTCATCACTCTATAATCTTTGTTTTTGCAGTTACTTAGTGAAGCATGGGAAATCCACTTTCCGCTGCGATTAATAATGCTAATTATTGAGTTACTCGAAAAATTTTTTTTTTACTTTTCGTCACTTTTGTCAAAACACAGATTGATGAGTTTCGATGGGAATTTTTGCAGCTTCCTTCTGCTATGAGTTCTCTCTTGATTAGCAAGAAAAATTAAGTTTCTCAACGGTCGCCTCTAACATAGCTAAGTAGGGTGGTTCTTCGTTACCTCGTTGATTTAATCTTTTTTCTCAGTAAAACCTAATTCAGCAAATCTCTTCGCATTCTTTTCACTTCTTTTTCTGTGATTGATCCTCAAGACGGCATTTGCTAATACTCAGACCATGTTTGCATACAAACTCAACAACTTAATCGTTGTCTGATAACATTAAACCCTAAAACATTGGGCTCTAAAATTCAAAGTATTAGGTTGATTCATAATTAATGCACGTTTTTCGAAATTCATCTTCAAAGCGCCGTAATTCTTCTCCAACATCATCTTTCAAAGAGCAATAAGAACTGTTGCAAAGAGCAAATCTTTGGCTTTACAACACATACTTTTGTTCGTAGACAAATGTGACGAGAAAGTTTGTAGAATCCGAAAAATGCCAAAATTTTTTTTTCAGAAACCTCTATTTTGAGAAAGCATAACTTACTGTTAGAGGTACTTCGCTCATTGTGTAGCCAATGGTCAAGAGAGCAGAGGCAAAAAAACTCGGATTTTACGGTAATTTTCCACGACGAGATACTGCAAAAAGTTCAAAAGTGGTCATTTTTTCTAGCTTTTTCAGAAAAGCGAAAAAATGTCGTTTTTGAAAATTTTCAAAATTTTTGCCATTAAAAAGCTGGAAAATTTCACCGTTTTTCTATCACTCAATATGCTATGTCTATTCTTTGTGTACAAAGCAAAATCGCGGTCATTGGTTTTTGTTTTAAAGTTTTATACAACTTCGAAGGGCCACAACAAACGGCCAAGTTTGTGGTTGAATCTCTCATCTCAGAACTTGCGAAATTCTGCTTTATAGAGATTTCTATAGCAGAAAGCTTCGCAATTGTTGGGTATATTTTTTGAAAATAACACCTTTTGTTCTCAAGGAATTAGAGCAAAAAGGATAAAAGGAAAAATTTCACGTTTTAGTCCCTCATATTCCGAAGCGTGAAATTTGGTATCATACAGAGTGTCACGAAAAAGAAAGGATACACAAGAAACTAGAAGAAAAGCTCTTTCAGATAGCATTGAAATTTTTAAGAAAGATTCAGTTTCCTTGCAAAACCAGCGCTTGGAAAAACAAGTGACAAAAACGTGCATTAATTATGAATCAACCAAATATGTCGTGTGGTTTTGGGCTATTATATTAGGTCGTTGCGAAGGTAATGTCACTTTTTTTGAGTGGACGCTATATTTCGTGGAAGCAAAATTTTTGAGAGGTTTCGGTAGCATTCGATGCAGCATTTCATTCTCTTTTTAATGGTCAAATGAGCATTGCACAATAATCGATAAGCTCCAAAAAATTACCAAGATCTGCGACCCATGCTTTTTGAGAAGGTCAAGTTCCATAGTTTTTCTAAATTTTTATAACAATTCTCCGAAGGAGTCCAAGTGACAGGCGGATTATGCAAACTCTGTAGAAAACAGCGCCATTTTTTTCTACTTTCCAAGCTCGTCATAATTTTTGTTGGAATTACCGAATTTTAGCAGGCTTGTCTTAGACACAAATGCCTCAAACACCAATAAATTTTTTGATTTTGAAACTTACATAGGTGGATTATGGTTTGACAGTAATTTTACAAAGAAAAAATGAGCGTTTACCGTTTCAGATTAGCAACTTTCGGAAATATAGGTACAGCTTGTGGCGCCCTGGAAAACCTGAACTATGATGATTTTATCCCGGAAAACGTTATGAATCGGAAACCAAAAACAACCGGTAAAAAGAGGAGAAGAAGCTGCATCGAATGATACTTGAGTTGCCTGCAGATTGTTGTTCTGTGAGGCTTGAGTTGACCAAATATGGAATTTGATAGCACTGAAATATTGATTCTAGAAACTCTATATAAGAAGCAAACTAAGGAAAAGAAAAAATTGTTTTGTGTCCTATAGGGCTTGCTGTATTTATTTGTTACTTGTACATCTTCGGGGAATCAGTACAAAACTATAGAAAAATAGCAGAACTTGACCATGATAAAAAGCATGAGTCGCAGATTTTGGTAATTTTTTGAGAGCTCATTAAATATTTTGCATTCAAATTATAATACAAACTTTAGAAAGAGGACGGAATGCTGCATCGACTGATCACAAGAGCTCTTGAAAATCTTGGTTCGGCGAAATGTGGCGTTCATTTGAAAAAAGCGACATTACTTTCGGAACGACCTAATATATCCAGATTTCAGGATTTTTGAGAACGCGATTGTACGAAATTCGTTGTGAGCATGTCGCAAGGAAAAGAAATTAATAACATGTTGGATTATCTTGTCTGTTCAACAAAAAGTTTTTTTTGGTTGAGTGCGGTATTTCACCGCACCCGGGCAGAGTGTAAACTTTATAAAAATCGCTCGAATGCTTCATTTCTGTACGCGTCAAATTACTAGGGTACTGAAAGGGTGCTGCATGACGAAGGGGCGCACAAGCATTAGTTTAGCGGGCGCGAACGCTGCGCGCGCGTTTTTTCACCGTTACAGATCCTGCACCTCATGCGCTCCATGGCTAAAAAAGCCGCGTTCGCGCCAGAAGATACTGCGCCTTCGTCATGCAGCAGCCTATAACTATCTAGCTTTGTGGACGCGAGGTGCAAACAATGAAATTCCTTAGGCGATGCATGGTACAGTCCAAGGCATTATCCATAAAATCATAACCATACTTTGTAGATTCGCTGACGAGTACGTTCTTCGAAATAACGATGCTGCAGATGTTGGACCGGACTTTGTAACAAATCCTGTCAATGCATATCTGTTGATTAAGCGCTTGACTTCGGAATGGAAGAAGGTAAGTGGTAACAACAGGAGCTGCCCATTAATTCAATGCGAACTAATAATTGGTTGTTATGGCTTCCTTGTTTCCGCAAAATTTATCTTGTAAATCCTTTTCTTGCAACCAATAGACGAAGCTCCGCAGAATTGATGTTGCCAATGTTATTTCTTTAGGGTTCAGTATCTAAGGTAAAGATTGATGAGCATTTTACGCTCAATCCTAACTTATGAAAATTTTGCACATAATAATCAGTCTCAATAATTGCAAACGACTATTTTTCGCCTCTTCATCTAGAGCCGGATTTGACGTCAGAGTTTGAAACTCGAATTATCCACTCAGGTTACGATTTTGGGTGATTGAGCAAAACTTTCTAACACGGAAATTATCCCTACAGTTCCAATTACAACAAAGAAAATTACAATTAATCGAGTACTACTCATGTAATTCAGCACAGCAGTTATGAAAATTAGTGATGTTTGCAAAAGCACAAAGCATTTTTGCAGCCTATTAGCTTCATAGAGATTCTAGTACCCCAGAAAAATAGTGGAATTCATCGATTCTGTTTCCTTGAGCATGAGTCTTTTCCAGGTCGAACATCTTATGCGCAACAACGTAGCCGACAGATACATCCAAAATATCACGGCAAATCGAGTGCGCAACCAGGTAATTTTTCGGAACCAATTCATTGAAATTCAGGCGCATAGAGCCTCATTTCGCAGATTGATTTGCAGCCCATAAGCTTCAGAAGAAAATAGTGTGTCGTGTTTTTTTTGGTCAAGCCGTTTTTTAGGTGAAATTCCCCGAGGAAGAAGACTTGTCTGGAGCAGCGGTTGCCATTCATCGACTGCAGGACGTTTACAAGTTGGACAGTGTCGACATCGCTGATGGTATAATACTGGGCGAGAAAGTCTCGCATCCGCTCACTGCACATGATGCATTTGAAGTAAGTTTTCAGGAAAATGTTGAATGAATGTAGATATATTTAGAAGGGTCATAAATCAAGTGAGCTATATATGACTTGATCTTAAAAGGACACGATCCCAACTTAGGGCAACTGGAATGTACCGCATTTCACTGTATGCCTCATGAGCCAATTCGAAATCTACCTTCCATATCTGCGATGCGATTTTTTAGAAAAAGTTTTGATCAAAAGTGCGAATTCATCGGGGTCTCAATGCATGATGTGCTCAAAAATCCAAATTGGGAGTGCCTTACTAGCATGATACTGAGTGTAGTCATTTCAAATTCACATGTATCAGAAGCACAAATAATGTTTTTAAACAAATAATTCTTGAAGTTGTGGCGCTGAATGTTTGCCAGATTTGAACTTTTGAACGCTTATAACTATTTCCAAAGATCACCATCGCAAATATGGAAGGAAGAATTGGAATTAGCCCATCAAGACGATCTAATGATATACACTTCATTTCAGTTCATTCAAGTTAGGATTGTTCCCTAGTTAGAGAATAAATAAGATTAGAAAAAAAAGAAAAAATAATTTATAATGTCTCCTTTAGGTTGGACGAGCAGCATACAATCAGAAAGACTATTATCACACTCTACTTTGGATGCAAACGGCCTTGAACAAGGTAAGGTAGAAGACTATGCTTATATCATCAACAGTTTATTTATGCTTGATATCCTATTCCTTTTGAATACTCATCTACATCTGTTGATTGTAACATAAGTTCTATTACATTTGGTGAAAAAAAAACTTCATATTCCAATTTTTTCCTAACTTTTAAATCATTTTGAAAACTGTAGCTTTTCGATGCATGTCACACATGAAATTTCCAATGTTTAGATTTTCCGAAATTTCTAGTTATTTCGACGTTCCTACTTGCCTAAAAGAGCTCAAACTTCTGGATTACCTTCGTATTAGCAATGAGGTCCGATCCGCAAAATGAGAAGATGTAAAAGAGAAATGAGAAAACTTTTAGAAGATATCTAATGGAAGTTAAAGGCCATTGTAGAATAAATTTTGTAACCACTATGTCTTGTCCGTGATAATGGAAGTGAAACCAATGTAGAGGTCTCCTTTTTCTTTTTCACATTTCTTTGCTAAGGTTTATAGAGTTAGGATCTAATAGATGGCACTGTAGGTGTAGAGCAGAACATAAGTTGAAGGTTACTGCTTGATGAATTTTAGATTTGGATATGTAAAATTAATTTAGAACGTTAAGAAAAATGCTCATTTCGTAGGAACAATAATTTTATGTAAAGTTGTCTAAGTTTTCAAGAAAAAAGCTAATCAAAAAAGCTCAGTCGCTTTATTTCTGCCACCACCCCATAGGTTAAGATATCCGGAAGAACACAAAAATTCCAATGATGCAGCCACAAAAAAACCCTTTTTCGTGGAAACTAGCACTTGAGGCCTTCATAACTAGAATTTGTCTTTGGTTCATTTTGTTTTCAAAATAGGCGCAATCGAAAAGCATCAAGCCAGAAAAAAGGTGAATGTGCTGATCCTAGTATGTATAGTATACATACATCTCAATTTATTATTTTCAGTTGGAAAACGAAGAATTAAAAACAATACCAGAGGAGGAAATCCTAGAGTATCTTGCATTTTCTCTCTATCAGCAAGGAAATGTTCGCCGGGCGTTGGCTCTGACGAAGAAACTAGCAGAAATCTCACCGAATCATCCAAGAGCAAAAGGCTAGTTTGATTCTGACCTTACTTATTTCAAGTGAAAGTCTTTAGGCAACGTGAAATGGTACGAAGATATGCTACAAGAGAAGGATATGGAAGGAGAGCTTCCGCCCATCATTAATAAGGTGAGTGTGCATTTCCAAAAAGAAAAAAGAAGAATTGCTAAAGGTGTTATTTAGCGTGTCGCATATGATGGCATCGTCGAGCGTGATGCTTACGAGGCTCTCTGTCGTGGTGAAGCTCCGAAACTTGACCCATCAAAGGAAAAACTGCTGTACTGCTACCTTAAGGTAAAAATTGGTAATTAAGTTGGTATCGGTTTTTTCAATCACATTGTACAGATGGACAAACCTTTCTTGCGGTTGGCCCCAATCAAGGTCGAAATTCTGCTGCTTGATCCTTTGGTGGTACTGTTTAAGGAAGTTCTGTCGGAGTACGAGATGGAAGTGATCAAAACAACGGCAACCCCCAAGGCATGTGCATTCACGTATTCTTGAAAAAATAGGTCTGGATGATTATTTGGAGTACAATGTAATGTGTGCAGTCGAGATAAAATTGTATGAATACGTACGTACCAAAATATTATTTCAGCCTTTCAAATATTGTTCTAAACAATTTTGTACTGTTTTAGCTCAAACGTGCTACTGTACAGAATGCTAAGACGGGCGATCTAGAACCGGCCGATTACCGTATCAGTAAAAGGTGCATAGCAAGCATGTTGTATATTGTTGTCTTTGTAAGATCCTCGCCCACTGCCTCTATTTTCCAATATTCTTCATTTTAGCGCTTGGCTGAAAGAAGATGAGCATGAGGTTGTTGCTCGAGTGAATAGGCGAATAGAGGATATGACGAATTTGAATCAGAAAACTTCAGAAGAGCTGCAGGTACTTGTTTAGTCTTTTAGGATTTGCTTTTTGCAAATCGTTTATCCCTGAGGAAATTATTAACGTTTTATTTGTGTAATAAGAATGCAGAATTTCAAAATTGTGAGCTTTGAAGCCAGGCTATACTTGATTCTCACTTTTTCTCATTACTAGAACATTTAGAATAAACAGCTAAAACTGATGGAAGAAAGACTATTTCTATGTACGTTTAGAGTAGAAAACAGGGATTTCAAAGCATGTATGTAATAGTTGTGAGCGAATTGTGCAATGACCAGACCCTCCAGAACAGAATCTGAAAATTCGAGGGTGACTACAACATTTCTGTGCCACTTGAAAAGGCACATCACACAGACCTGTCGGATGGGGATTGAAAGACTTATATGAATAACACCCAAATCCAGTGGCGGACCGAGGGGAGGGGGCACTTCCTTCCCTCCACTCTCACCCAAAGAATGGGTCGCGAATAAGCGTTATAAAAACGTGTAATTGACTTGCTTACTATTGTAAATGACTAAAATAACTTTTGAAATTTTAAATTTCAAACTAGAACTGTGAAAAAGATTTCCTCGGGGGTGCGACGGCAGCCACCCCCTTTTCTAGATTTTAGGGGTTATGGACCCACAAAACTTCACCCCAAAAAATTTTCGGAGTGCGTGGTCAAAGCCACGCACCTCCATTCAATAAAAAAATTCTTCCTACGACCGCCGCTGCCAATAATCATAGCTAAAGAACTTGAGAGCAACCGAGACATAAAAACGTATTTTTTCTAGGCAAAATGCATCATGATTGTATCTCTCTCATTTTCTACACACAAGCAGCAGATATACATGCTATCCAAATATTGTACATTGCGTTTGTATGGAAAAACCATTATTTTTGTTCAGGTAGCAAACTACGGCCTCGGAGGGCACTACGATCCCCACTTCGATTTCGCACGAGTGGGTTTGCTTTCTTTTTTATGCAAATGTAAGTGTGGCGTATGTAGTCTACAAACAGAATAGCCATTTGCGCGCTTTGTCTGATACTTGTGGAAAGCATAACATCTTAAAAATTTCGAATTCAATTTCCTTGAACCTTTGCAAAAATTGCGCTTGACCCAGTCGACTCGCTTCCTGGGTAACAAACCGCTTTATTTTCAATCCATTTTGTAAGCGCTTTGCCTAATCAACAACCTGTGTTTTTTTTGAAAGTAAAGATTTCAAACCTATAATTCCGAAAAGTCTGGGTTGCAAAGAACGTTGCAAAAATTCCAAGACCACTGAAGACTTCATTGTTTTCTGGACAAATTTCTTGCACACTATACCATGTCATGCCTTCGCAATCGGGCAAAACCTAGTTAAAATGCCATCCTTGACTTGACGATGTCATCAGAACCCATTTTAAGGAAACTAAAACTATTTAGCTTGTAGTTTGCAATCGCATCGCTATCGTTGTTCTTTGCAAGCTGACATTCACTACATTTGCATTACAGAAGGAAGAAAAGAACGCATTCAAGTCACTCAATACTGGAAATAGAATAGCCACCGTGCTATTTTACGTGAGTTTCAAATTTATGAATATTGATTTGCAAAATGCTTATTTAATCGACGAAGTGTAGACATAGGTTTTTGACAGACTAAGTGGTTGGTGCTACACCCATAAACTCCCATCTTCCACAAAATAAGCTCTACTGGCAACGACTCATTCACCACAAATAATTCTTTTTATGACAACTTTTTCTGTGAAAAAGATTTTGAACAGAGAGGCAAATTTTTTATTGCTTAGCGCTTTTGGCACATAAATGTCTAGCTGTATCTCCCAAAGCAGTGCACCTTGTAAGCATAACGACTCGACAAAGGTCCGGTCCTGCTATTTTTTCCCCGATTCTTGAAATTTGCTCATGTATTTTGTTAATTTTCTATGTTCCCCTTCAAATGGTGAGTCCCGTACTAATTCGTTCTGGAAGCTACCATGTGTAGTACGAAAGACAACGAATATTTCTGTTAACGTAACCTTTCGCTTGTATACTGGCTCGCGATAACATTTTAATGTTAGCATGAGTAGCACGACCGTTGAAATTTTGTCAGTTAGTAGTCCCCCGTATCCTAACAGATAAAAAGCCACACCTCTGCTATGTCAACTTGTCGATCACTTTCATGCACTAGGTGTATCATCCTAATTGCTCATGCAAGAAAGTTATGGTTGATAAATAGTCCAAAAGCTGGTCATCGTTCGGGGCTTGCATTCGATTTCAGGATTGTGTTGAAGTAATGACTTAGTGAATTTTCTCAGCATCAAGTTTACTTTTGTAGCATGTCTATTTCTTTTCGAATCATCTTCCTAAGCTTCTGCTGGTTTGTTTCTGAATCACAAAAGCAAGTTTCAGGGTGTTTCTTGTTAGCGAAAGCAAATTATCGTATTAGGTGGGTCCGAAAGTTCTGTCGTTTCATTTTCAAAAAATTGTTACTTTGCAATTTTGCAACGGATTCACCTCATTATATTTTTATTAGAAAGAGTAAATCTTTCGCTTTCAAATGCTGCTTCGTGGAACTTCTTTTTTGCTCTGATTGCTGAGATAAAAATGGAAAAGTAAGACCTTATAAGCTTTGACCATTTTAAGTTAGGTCACCAAAAATCTGAAACGATGCAAAAAATCTGAAATCGCCAGTAGATATGTTTTTTGGCCTACTCTTTGCAACTGTTAAGAGTTTGCACTGTTTGGACGTTTCTGTGAAAAGTTATGATTTTCACGAAAATTGATAAATTAATTACTTTTGGCGTTTTCCATAGTAAACTCGATATTCATAACTTCTCACAGAAACGTCCAAACAGCACAAGCTCTTCACAAATGCGAAGGTTAGGCTAAAACACATATGTGCTGACGATTTCAGATTTTTCTGCAGCTTTCCAGATTTTTGATGACCTAAGTAAAAATGGTCGAAGCTTATATGGTCTTAGTTTTCCATTTTTATCTCCGCACTTAGTGTGAAACAGAAGCTCTACAAAACAGCGCTTGGAAGCGAAAGACTTTTTCTTTCTAATGAAATTACAAGCAAGCAAATCCGTTGCAACAGTGCAAAGCTACAAATTTTTGAAAATGAAACGACAGAACTTTCGGACCTACCTAATATTTCTCTGATTAGTTCGTAGAAAATCCCTTCAGCCTATCTTCTGTAGAACAACACTTATTCATCAAACTCCTGAGCTTGTATTGCATAGTTCTCGAGGACTGAGCTGATTGAGTACTTTGTTTATGGAGAAGCGAACCTTGGTTCAATTACAGATTTAGTTAAACTCAGCTCTGATTAGCAAAGCTAAGAGAATCTTTCTAACCCTCCTTTAAATCAAATCCGAAAACAAGTTTTCTTATCAATAGTTCAGCTTTGATTTCATTTCAAGCATTTTATACTAGCGTATACAGGAGCTAGCCTCTCCATAAATCAAACCACTTTGCTCTTGATATGAGACCTGCATCATTCATAAGGTTTTTACATCCTCACTCATGGGTAAAGCTGTAAAGATCCTATGAGTGAGGCAGATTCCGCATCGAGAGCAATCAAAGTTTACAAATGCATTCATTGTCTGTTGCTTTTTTTCTCCATGGGGGTGATGTAACAGAAAGCTCAAAAGAGGTATCGAGGTATCCCTGCCGGGGTAAGATGGAGTTAAAACCATGATCCTGATCCTGCCACCATGATTTGAATAACCCCTGAGTTATCATTCTCAAGCGAAAAAAGAAAAAGACACCAGCGCGAATGGTTTTGACTCCATCCTGCTCCGGCAGGCATAATTTTTTGAGCTCTTAGAGGCAGGGTGGAGTTAAAAGCATTCGCACTGGTGTTTTTTTCTTTTTTTCGCTTGAGAATGATGACTCAGAGGTTATTCACATCTTCTTCGTTCATACTTGAATCTATGCACTTATTGAGCGTGGGCTATGAATTTCATTTTTGCAGCACAGTTTGATTATTTGAGAAAGCAGCGCTCATTATTTATCTCATTGTTGCAAATAGAAAACTTCGTTGAACTAATAGTTCGTTGAGCGCAACGCTGAATGCCCAGATAAATAAATAAATGGAATAAGGAAATATTGGCTACCAAATACTCACAAAGCTGCATTTAGATGGCGAAGCCCGAACATGGAGGAGCGACAGTCTTTAACCATCTTGGCACGGCTGTATTTCCATCAAAAGGAGATGCACTATTTTGGTACAATTTATTGAGAAGTGGTGAAGGAGATATGCGAACGCGGCATGCAGCTTGCCCCGTACTGCTTGGAGTAAAATGGGTACGTAGCTTCTGTAAATTTCGTAGGTGAAGGTTATCGTCTATAAATAACTCTAGGTTTCCAATAAGTGGATTCACGAACGAGGTCAAGAGTTCACTCGCCCATGTGGATTAGATGAAACGGTGCAAGAACGCTTTGTTGGAGATCTCAGCCCGACTTCCAAAAGTAAATCGTCACTTCAGTAGATGACATTCGCTAATGCAGGACGATATTTGGCCCTATATAAGTTGCTGAAACCAGAATTCACTTGTTGTTCTTTTGGCACCGTAGTTCACTGTTCCATACATGTCTTTCTTCAACACGACTTATTGGAAAATAGCCTGCCACCTATTGTAGGATCTATTTAACTTATTAACTGTTAACTTATTTTGATGCTGTTTTGCTCTTTGTGATAAATGCTAGTCTTGCAGTCTTGGATGCTAGTCTTGTCATTTTTTGCGAACCTTTCATTAGAACCTCAATGAAGTGCATTCGTACCGGAATAGGGAGCTGAAGGAGGAAATCTTTTACCTCAGGATCTGAACATAGCGCATGCTCAGTTTTATGAAAATTCTACTATTCTTGGCAATTAACACGTTTCGGACCGGTGCTGCACATGGTGAATCACCGAATTCGCAGCCGCCTCCTGCTTCCTATATTATGTTTCATTCATAGCTGATGATGTCATCCTATTGGTATAAGCCTACTGTCTCATATATCACCTTGGTCTTGTATCAACCCACTTCGTTCGGACAATGCAGCGACAAACAGTAAATAGCCGAAAATCCGCGCGGCGTTGCGAACCTCGCGTGCGACGAAACCTTCTCGCTATTCATTTTTAAGCTGGATAAATCGCATTTTCAAGGGAATTCCTCTCGTTAGAAGGCATAGGAGAATACAGGAACTGATAAGCAAACGAACTTTTCCTATTCTGAAAGACGTAAACGCTCCTTGTGCGGTCATAGTACGAAGGTATGTTACACGGACGTCAGGATCACGATTTGGCAATTTTTTTCTGTAGGAGTTAATTTAGTTAAGTTAGCATGCTTATCACAAAAACTGTGCTACTTTTGTGAAGTAGCGCGTTTTTATGATGTTACAGCGTATATGGTAGACCGGATCGGATCAAAACCTCAAATCTAGTTTAAACCGTAGTAAATGACCACTTGAAGATATGAAAAGACTCTTTTAGGAATAATCGAGGGCGCTATTCGGCTATCCGGGCCCCAAAAATTTTTTGGCATGGATTTCGCTCAAACTTGGCCCAGAGGGGTTATCTGACATGCTGTTCACGAATATCACCTTTTCTGCGCAGGAAAATGCCTCCCTGCAGGGTTACGGTAGGTATACGATAGGGGGTCAAAATCACGGATTTGCCCGAAACTTCGTCTAGAGGGGTTATTTGGCACGCTGAACACGAATATGATGTTTATCTCGTGCGACAGCGCCATCCGGTGGAGTTACGGTAGGACTACGGTAGAGGGTCAAAATCACGGACTTGCCCGAAACTTGGCCTAGGGGGGTTATTCGGCCCGCTGATGCCGAATATCACATTGGTTTTGAACCATAGCGTCATTTTCTCGGGTAGCTACACGGTAACGGGTGTAAAGCATAGTTCTGCCTGAAACGGGTGTACGACGATTCGGACGACTGTGAAGCTTTGCACACACGAACACCGCCGCGCGCTACACACCATGCTGCGGCTTTTGCCTAAGCAAAGCACAGGGGGAGATACATTTGCCGATTTGTGATTTTGACCCCTACCGTAAACCTACCGTGACCATGCAGGGAGGCGTTTTCGTGCGGAAAAAGTGTGACATTCGTGATCAGCATGTCAGATAACCCCCCTGTACCACGTTTGAGCGAAATCCATGACCAAAGAATTTTGGGGCCCGGATAGCCGAATAGCGCCTAATCGAGACCATGATCGTGATTAGGATGATGAAGAAGTCCCTACACGAAGTTTTACGCCAATTTGAAATTTTGACTAACCTACTATATACCCTTAATTCACACAGGAAGGCGTTTTTGCGCGAGAAAAGTGTAATATTCGTGATCAGCATGTCAGAAAACCTCCAAGTACCGAGTTTGAGAGAAATCCACGTTTCTGAACTTTTGGGGCCCAAATTTCGGGATAGCCAAATACCTCTCGCTTTCATTGCAAAACATGCGATCATGACGTCAAATGAAGACGATGTGGAAGTACTCATGAGAGCAGTGCGAATAACAACATTTGGCGCAAGTTATTCATGAACAAAGCTTGAAATTATGCAAATGAAAAAAGTCGGTCCCCAGCGTCCCTCGTGCTTCACATGGTGCAGCACGAAATTTTGCCGCGCGCGATTTCGCGGTCCGAAACGTGTTAAGCATAAAAAGTAGGAGAGTAACCATACAAGCTGCGACTTTCAGTGCTGTGCATGACCCCTTGGAGGGCTGGTGGAGATTTCAAGCGCAATTTTCAGCACTTAGCGCATGAATTGGAAGGTGGGATTCGGGCTACAGTTTACTTGGGGGTCTATACCTAACAAGACAAAAATTCAAAAGGGTCCATTTTGCCGATCGCTGCTTTTAAACAGAAACCAAAACTGCGCATAGAGCGTGCGCAAAGAGCCAAACGCGATAAAGTGGTGAATTCGCAGCGCTCCTAGTTCCTAATAAGAAACAATTTTTTTTACAATGTTGCAAGGTTTCGTCAAAAACTCGGGAAGCTTTTCGATCAGAGCTATACGCCACTTAGGCTGGGTTCATACTGATTCCCATGTTCCGGAACTGTTCCCGCACAGTCCCCACTGTGCTGGAACTGTTCCGGAACTGTGCTGCATGCGCTGCAGCCGCCCTGCCCGCGTTTTGAACGGCGGAAGTTGGGAAATCGTGACCGTTTCCAGCGGGTTTTCTTCCAGATTTCTTTCATTATGGCCTTATTCCTCTACACCGCTTCCCTTTTTGATCAGCAGAACTTCGAACTCGAAGCGGGGTTGAAGAATGAGCGCTTTTCTGCTGCGGATGTGACAAACCGTGTGTTCCTTACTCGTCTATTTTCTCTTCGCTTTATTTTTACTCAGAGCTATTCCATTTGTTCCAAGAAGCCGCTTCGTAGTTTTCATAGCGACTGCTATGAATTAGGGAGCAAGCGAGCAATTCTAAAATTGCATAAATTGGGACTTTTCTCTTGTCTTCTGATGAGTTTCGTTTTTGGGCATTCTCAGCCCTTTTCCCTTTTCCATACGTCTTCTCTCTTCCTTCTTCTACCCCGCTTCTCCTTGTGATGAGAAAAGCTGTGGAATTGAAGCGGAGTTGAAGAAGTAACCTCGCTCTGTTCCGTGTATCCAGGCAGATTGGTCTTCGTGCGCTCGTCCACTTTCTCTTCCATTTTTGTTGAGGCCTACTTCATGTGTTCTGGAAACCTGTCTATGTCCCTTTCAATACAGATGCGAGACTACGCAGCGACTTCCTTGAACACATGAATCAAGTCTGAACAAAAACAGCGAGGAGAGAATGTACGAGCACAAGAACGCACGTTCTGTCGCATGCGCAGAGCAGAAAAGCGCTCATTCTTCAACCTCGCTTCGAGTTCGAATTCTGCTGATCAAAAAGGGAAGTGGGATAGAGGAATAAGGCCAAAATGATAGAAATCTTAAAGAAAAACCCTTGAAAACGGTTAAAATTCTCCAAATCCCGCCGTTGAAAACGAGTGCGGGGCGGCTTTAGCGCATGCAGCACAGTTTCGGAACACTTCCAGCACACTGCGGGAACTGTCGGGAATCAGTATGAACCCAGCCTTACTTTTTGGTGTCTTTCTTCTGGTCGCCTGCGCCTCCACTTGTCGTGGACCTCGCTATAATTTCCCCACCGAGGAATTTGACCCCGATGCCATTTTTCCATTGTTTCAAATCAGTCTTGTCAAATTGCTTATTAATCTGGAGGTTTGGAAAATACTGACAACTGTCGTCGAGCTCAAATTTTTGATTTTAACGGAAAATCTGGCAAGTCCTGGTTTTAGAATTCTTCCAGTCTTTAGTTCAATTCTTTCGATGCCTGTATTCGATGCACATCGCTTTCGTGTACAGATGTAAACAACGCTGATCCAGAAAGCTGCAAAAAAGCGCGTTTTTCTTCGTAGCATCTATGGATGAGTTACTCATTTCCAAACGGAGGAAGTTGCTTACTAAAAATGACAGATCAATGTAGAAAATGCTTTGTCTGGAAATTCACGCGGGTGGGAAATGAAGGACGCATCAGACACATTGGCTTGACGTGCGGTTTGACTTTGTAGGAACAAAATTCTTGATAACTAATTTTGTTTATCTCTTCCTGACTATCGCCACTTACAAATTGTGATTGGTTTCAAAAATAAAAACCAGAAAAAAATTGGGAAAAGAAGCAGCTTGGCTATACCAATGCAAAAAGGCGGTCAGAAAACATGGGATTTGAATGCTCCAAGAAAGATTTCACACTTGCTGCAGAATTATTTCCGGGATTTCCACAACTCCTTCTATTTCCTATTTCACTTAACACTTTTTTCCTCTATCTATGGGTGAACAACCTTAGCTTCCTACAGCTTCAGATCAGACATCCATCACTTTTCGGGCATAGTTTTCAGATTATCAATGGTAGGGTAGGAAGCTGCAGTGCTCGAAGAAGAAGCTGCCTCAGATACTTTAGAAATTAAGGGGGATAAAAACCACCTAGAACTCTGAAAGATAGCAAAAACTCAATTATAATCTTGCTAGAGTTATGCAAAAAACCTGCTCTGTTGATATAAAGGTTGCGCTAAGACCTTCCCAACTTCTTCCACATTATACCAGCTGAACAAAAATATTTATTTTGGTTGAAATGTATGCAGTAGAAAACGAAATGGGAGCAATAATGCTTGATGAATTTTTTTTCATTGTTTCGGCTCAGCTGGTTTCTCTGTAGGCTCTTTTGTTCTTTCCTTATGCGGAGACATCGCAATTACAACATCCTAGAATAGAGGTTGAGGTTCTAAGAGTTTAAATAAAGAGTTTTGATTTATTAGAGACTTAGTAAGTAGTGATCGATTTGATGGGAATGAAACGTACCCCAGTGGCTTCGTCTTCTTCCGTAAAACTATCGGACTCAGTGGCCCGTATCGACTGGAATAATCAGTTTTTCCGAACACATAAAGAAAGGATTGATTGAAAGGAAAAGAGAATGAACTGATTTTTGCAATTTTTGATGTTTGAAAGAACGCAATACTTTCATCTATTAGATGCAGTGGTCAAAAGAATGGCCGTAGAGCCCACTCAGATTTGATGCTCAAATCTTGCTTTTAGTAGGAACAGCATAGTATGGATTGGATCCAAGACTACTTATACAATACCACTCTCAGAATGTGCAAAATTTCCGTGAAAGGCGGGATTCCGGAATCCCCGGAATTCCGCGACATTCACGGAAATTTTACACATTCTGAGAGTGGTATTGTACTGCCGGGTGATTACATTGCTATTTGAACATTAAGCTCAACAGAACGCATTTGTATTGACGATGCATAAGTTCTTCGCGAGTCTTAGGATAGGTCCCGGCTCAAACGTGTAGTGTTAAAGGCAGTGTCCCGGCAGATTCGCGCCTTGGGAGATATTGCTATAGTGGGGTTTCTGGTCATCTCATTGACCTCCAGACGCAGTCCGGCTGGTTGATGTTCCTCCTGGACCGAGAAAACAGCCCTTGAAACGGCGCGAGCAACCCCAATCGGTGCGCGCTCGGACGATTTCTCTTACCGTTCGGCGAGGGACCCCACGACCGCTCTCCTGCATTGTGCATGGTATCCAAAGCAAAAATTACAGGCAGTAGGGTCTTCGTGCCAGGCTTCCCAACTTTCCATTGAAATTCTCTTCCGAGTGCCTTTCTGAAACTGGGTAAACGCCCCAAAAAAGGTCTTTTCACGCGTTCAAAAGCTCAAATTCGGGGTCTACGGATCAAAAAGGCCCAAAACATGCAAAAAGATGGGAATGCAAAATTTGCCAGGACACTGCCTTTAATGTAAGCGAAGTCTTTTCCGTTTACCGTCATGGCGCGGGCGCGAAGGGTTCTGAGGACGGATTTTTCAGCCGTGGATGAATCATTTGCGCTTCCTCTTGGACAGTGCCTTAGCTAGGAACCCGTCATCAGTTTCTAGGAGTAAAACGCATATGCCCAGATTTGCCTGGAAACTGCTTTCAAGGAAGATTGAGGAGATTAATGCGTACCACATCATCGGCAACCAACTTAGTCGTCACATCGCAAGAATCGTACGGCTTCATTTCATGACAGCAGCAACTGTGGTGTCCTTCGCGTGCAACAGCCGCAGACCGTTCCGAGAGAGGCGAATGTACGAATGGTGGCACTGCAAATAATAATCTTAGTCTCACAATCAGCATTCAAATGCAGTGATGTGACAGTACAGACACGGCCGGCCTTTTCTCTCTTCTTTTTATTCAAATTCCAATAATATGTCGCAACAGCAGAGCATGCCGCAACCAATAGAGAAAGCACTATGAGTTTCCTGTAATTCACTGATGATAATTCTGTTATCAAAAACGTCCAGAAGATACGCATGCCAAATTCCGGACTAACATGCGTGTTTGGTCGCATTGGACGGACACTCTGAATATACTTTCCGAGATCTGAGAATAACAAGCATTTTTTAAGCACCCGTCTTTTAAATACGCGAACTTGCAAATCTGATTAAAAAGTCCTTCCACTCTTCTTTCAACCTCTAACCGCAAAGTTTGATACTGTGAATATAATCTGACTAGGCTGAATAGTTTTTAAAATTTTGGAGTTTCTGCTCGCAACATGCGACACGGCTACATGATACGACAGCAGTGACAGTGGATTTGTATATTGATAAGGTACTTTCAAAGTTGTAATATTCTTTGGAGAGGACGGTTGTAACCGACATTCCATTGACAACAACAGTTTTGTCTCAAAACTCAGTCAAGATTTTGTTTGTGATTCCAAAAGCAAATGGTTAGGCAATTTCAAAAAAGAAATCAGAACTCCTCTGATAAGTAACCTGACCCCTTAGCCCCTGAAAAGCAATCGTAAGCGTTGTGCCATTCTCCAGCACAAATTTTGTGCATCTGAGGTAAGGTGTAATAGTTTTTTGAGCTTACACTGTCAAAGTATGGGGATGATGTGGTCGGTAAATACTCGATCTGAGAATTTGTCGCTTACAGGGCTATCCGATAAGCTCCTTCAAAGATCACTGTAAAGTTCAAATGGCGAAATGACCATTTCCCAAAATTATTTTAGACGAGTGCAACTGTTTTTTTTTCAAAAGTTTAAAGCGAGAGTCGTTACGTGATGCTCACGGTTATAACGTTGTGGCATCTACCATCGACTCCCTTCGTATAGGAGAAGTTATGCCAATCGGAGCTTGGCCGTTATTGATAGCCCCAGATTCTCGACCGTCATGTTTTGATCCTTCCGGGGCCTTCTCATAATCCTGCTTCCGAATATGAAGTCGACAACACGCGAAAACTCCGACACTCCGTTCTGTAATCCCGCACGCCGGCTTTCCAGAACAGTGATTGGCCTGATTGGCTCGGCGTGCGGGGTGGACGGGCATGGATGGGGAGGGCGGTGCCGTCTGGGGTCCTCAAGCCTCTTCGCTAATTGAAAGCGAAACTTTGCGCCGCGGCTTGCGCATTAGCTTGATAGGGAGTTGTATACCATAAGCTGCCAAAGTCAAGACCCCTAACTCAAGGTGGACGGTGCCTTTAACACGTTTCCTTATAATCAGGGAAAGTCCGCAATCAGCCCCCATACGAATCTGGGAGCGCGTCATACTTTCAACGCTGAGATGGGGATCAAAAGCATGCCCGTTCGCGAGCAGAACTGATTTGCGCGAGCGGTTTGCGGCAAACTTCTCGGCGGGGCTCATGTTGCATACTCACACCGATGCGGTAATTGACGGTGGACATGCGCTAAAGGGTCAGCTTTTCACTATCTGCTGAACTTCTTATGGTGTTGTCATGCAGTTACGCGTTACAGTTACAGTCTGTTTCACTCCGGAATAGGCGGAACTTTTGACGTGGAGCAGTGCACCCGCATCGCTGGAAGCCTTGAGAGCGCACAGCGTTGGTATTCTGCCAAGCAAAGATTGAGGAGAATGAAGAGACGCAGACATGGGTTCTTAGCACGATTTGGTGTACTATAACTGCGGAACGACGCGAACCGTTGCGATGCGGACGCCCACTGTCATACCTTCGATAGTCTAGAGACAGGGCCTCAAAAGTGAAGGTCGTTTGATTATGTGCCCTCAAAAAAAGTGAAGGGTTCTTATAAAACCACAGAAGAAGAAAGTTGCAAAACAGCTAGTAAAAGCAAAAGAAACTCTTGCAAATCGGATAAAAACGCTGCAATGAGTTCGAAATCTTTCATTTGGCGGCACTGCAGGTATTCGCTCCACGTGATCCACAACACGGGGAAAACGAGGAAGCTAGATTTTTCTTCGTGTTTTTCCAAAAACAACTATGTTTTGAGCAACGATTACCAAGAAAAGATAAACAAGAAAAGAATTGGTTTTTGAAAATGCAGAGTTTTTTTTACCAAGTCAATGCGCGGCAAAGCCAGAGTAATTTTTCGTGCGCCCTTTAGATTTTTACAACCGCATTGTGGTTCCCGTTTTCTGGAGCGTTGTCTAAGTTGTTGCGTTCATTATTCTGAGCAATAGTCGTCCAAGCTGGAGAAAATTAGTTGCGAAAGTACTGAAACAGAGCAAGGTAAAGAAAAACACACTTTTTACAACTTTTGGAAAAATTCAATCACAATCAAAGAGATTAAGGCTGGGTGGTTGTCTGCATTATGAACAGAAGCAAGATCTATAGAATGCACGAAAAAACCGCGTGAAAGGAGTTGAACTAGGAGAAAAATAAGTTTTCGAAAACACGGTTTTTCCGATTTTCTCGTTCAAAACAAAAAATGTGGTTTTGGGACGTTGTCAGCGTGAAAATAAAGATCAAGAGCTTCAATATGATATATAGCTTGCTAAAATTGGGTTCGAAACAACGAAGAAAAGGGTACCAGAGCCAAATGCCCCGCGCCCCGCGTTTGGGGTAGCTAGATAGCGCGCAGCGCGCGGATACGCAGAGAGCAGCGGAGACAGACCAGAGCCGCATATGGCTCTGGTAGGAGATCTCCGCGGGGTCTCAACGAAACCTTGCAAAATTATATATCATTCTGATCGTCATGGAACGACGAAAAGCACTGACAACGTCCCAAGCGTTGAAATCTACTCAATAATGAGGTAGACTAGCATTTGCGCGAGTCCCTGCGCAAGATTTAGGCGGAGTTTCGAGTTTTTGTTCAACTCCCACAGCTTCCCTAAACTGCTGAAACTCACTTTCAGTGAAATAGGATGTTAAGTGAGAGATGTTTTCTTCAGTTATGGGGAAACGTTCACAGAAACGTTATACTTGGCGTTAAAAAGACTATAAAAACGCAAACTCTCATTTTGCTGATATAATAAGACCAGTGCGTCACCTCTGCTTCGCAGAGGCTCGCATTGGCTCTAATATCTAGGCCCTACTCATTCTCGCATAATGATGGCATTGGACCTCATCGAGCAATGCCGACTATCACGAACAAATTGTAAACAACTACTCATTCCAAAAGTTTTTTTAATGTGAAATCGGTGATTTCGCATGGATGAGATTTTTTGCACGAAAACAAACGTAAATTTATAAGGTTTTTGAAGTTTCCATGGTCTTGACAGTTGCAGAAAGAACAGCAGGAACAGCAGTCACCGTGAGCTACATCTTTGTGCAAAAATCTCGTCAAATGTTCTGGTACAATCTTGGCAAATTGACCATTTGCGCAACCAATACTTTTAGCGCCGTTTTTGTAAAGTAATGAATGATCACTTTTTTGCGCCTAAGTTCATGGGTTGCACATCTACTTGGCGTAAACATCCATGACTCCGCAAAAAGCGGGATTACGGACCCAATTCTGCGGCTCAAATGCAAAGTGGATCCGTTTGAGGCGCAGTTTCTGAGGGATCCACTCAACAAATCTGCTCGTGCTTTTGCGTGTTGGACTTTTATGCGGGTAGCATGCGCTATGCAAAATTTGAGCCCAGGAGGTTGGCTGGAACACGCTCTACGAATTTCGTAACAGCACACACAGACACACAGACATACAAACTCAGACACTCGCTGTTGACTCGCGCCGGAGATCCGCCCCTTTTTACGGGATTCGCGGGGAAGGGCGTAGACATGCGCGAGACAATATTTTGACAGCTTTTGCGGTTGTTCGCGAAAGGAAATCGGGAGATGATGAGTGACTCAGCGAGCAGTTTCGCAATATCGACGCGCATTTCAAATCTCAGCTCATGTTGCATCATTCCAGGTTTTTTGCTACCTATATCCAAGTTCGTGCATTCCATCCATCCCACCTAAGCCCTCTTATTCCCATTAATTTCATTCCAATCCAACATTAACTTTATTTGAAATCCAATTTTGAAGCTTCTTCTCTAGAAATCAAAGCTCGACTATCTCCGTGATAGTGGGATTGTGGAATTTGAGTTTTTGTCCATAATAGCCTAATATGTTTCAGCATGTAAGTTTTGGCTTTATTTTTGTGCCTATTTTCTTCACTGGTTCTTAACTTACATGCTGAAACATATTAGGCTATGAAGAAAAACTCAAATTACAGGTAACTGATCGTGAGCGACTTAGCGACTACTGCGGAGAGACGGTGCACTTAATTCCACATTTTACGGATGCAATAATCCAGTGGGTTGAGCAAGTGGCCAGGATTCCCGTTGGTGGCACATTGGAAAGGCCAGACGTTTGCATCATTGAGGTAAATAGTATGTTTTCATTGCCATTCTTTACGTAAATTTTGATTTGTTTTGGTTTTTTTTGAGTCACTCTCATTTGAACTTACCATTTTCGATGCACGACATAGGACCGTGTTGCTTGTTTTAAAAAGAAATTGAGGGGGGTGTATAGTAAATCGTCCATTCCACGACAGCTCACCTATGCCACCTATGTCACATACGCAAAACTGCCAACCGACGCATTGTTGTTAACATGTTGTTGCTGTTGCAACATGCTACTTGTGGGAACGGCCATAGGTTGTCGGTGTCGTCGATGTTGTCGATGCTGTGGGGTGTGGCACGCCACATTCACGCCAAACCAGTCTTGCTGTGATGTAAGCTATCTTTTCTTTAAATTGCTTCCTTGCCCTGCGGAGAAGAAATGGGCTGACAGTGCTGCAGCAAAAGGAGACGAGCAGAAAAAAGGAAGTGAGTGGATTACCACACAAATCTTAATAGCTTTTGTTCTGCATTGCAGAGGTGCTCCGTATTGTTGACAAGAAGGAGCTGTCAGACTACGTCAAGCGCTTTTCAAATTTCCGTTTCTCAATTTTTTGAAGTGTCTGATGAATTTCTTTTGGACATAGTGCTCATTCTCCTTTCGTAAAGTATACACCTTGCACCTGCGTCAAGGAAATAGAAAAGACCATCCCCGACAAGTTTTAGCCCATCTGCTACTAATTCCTTCTAATTTGCTGTACTTACATATCACTATCATATCATTTGCCTTGACTCTACTCCCACTTTTGCGTATCACTTATTTGCAATCCGAGATTCTCATTGTTTAGACGGTTACTAAGTACACTTCTATCTCATCATGTATCTCCATATCGTGAAGCTTTAAGCTAGTAAGCATAGTAGTTTGACTTCCCCGAAGTATCCTTGTGCCATTTTAGAAGTAATAAATTGGTTAAGACTTTGTAGAATTCATATATATGCGTGTACATATATATACATATATATAATGTATATTTATACATACACATATAATATATACATATATGTAATGTACAGCAAGTAGGGATAAAGCGAAATTACTGCTGCGAGATAACGCGCTCCATTTGCGTCCGGACAACAGGATGTGTCGCCCTCGAGCTGCCGCGTATTTTCTGCAAGATGCGGGTCGCGTCAAAGTGTTGTCTCGGGCAGCATTGTTCCGACACATGATGCTGTCTCGGGATTTCCTCGCGAGGCCGATTACTTGTGTCGCGCCTTCATTCAGCGCTTACACAAAACTTTGGGCTGCGCGAGTCAACAGCGAGTGTCTGAGAAGTCACGTAAACATCCTTAGCCCGTTATTATAAGTAATGATAATGATATTATTCCCTACATTTGCTTCATTCACATTCATTCCGATAGAGTCAGGGTTAAAACATCGCTTAGCCCCGGATGGCTTTTTGTTTTTTTAGGTGAAGGTTGTGTACTAGCAGAGCGCTCAAAGCGAAGGCTGGCAGAGTACATGGTTCTATGTATCGAGAGTGTGCAACCAATCCAATTTCTGCCTAAATTGGGTTGGAATTTACTGTACTTGAGCATCATAGCTTTCCTTGGTGGCTCATACCCCGTTATCAACTGGGCTACCATGACGGGCCGCTCGCTTAACGAAAAGTCTATACATAGAAGTTGCGATTACGCGGCCAGCGTAATCTTGAGCAATCCAGCTGATTAAGGGCAAGCACGTCCTTATCTGGTTACTTGGTGTGAGAAGCGTTTTGATAAAGCCAAGCAGATACACTTTTGCAAAGCCATAACAGTTTTGTAAAATTTTGAATGGAGCGAACCAACCTCAGAACCATAACCGAATAGAAATGAGACAAACTGTAGTGAATATAGATAGCAACTTGCACTAAGCTCCACATGTCAAGGTTGGTGCTTGACAGTGTGCCAAGAGCGAGGTGCCAATTTTTGTTCCTGTGTTGCTTTTGACGTCTCTTGGGAACTTCCCATTCTCACGGCCCCACTCACCTACGGGCTAAAGAAACCCTCGGGAGGTTTGGCAAATTAGCCTGCCCTTCGGGATCAATCAACCCTCTCTTTTCCATAGCGACGACGCATTCGCAGCGAGTGAGCGCTAAGCACCGATGGATCGATGCAGCAGATTCGAACGCTCAAGCAATACGCCCGCGAGCGGCACGGGCCTTAGTGTTTAGCTTGAGCTGATTGACAAGGGAGCACAGGGATGCAGACTGTACTAATACTTGCAAGTCATGCAGCAATATGAGCGTTGCATAGGGGAAAGATAGGGTAAAGCTAAGCGGAAGGAGTTTTGTGTAAAAGGGAGGCGAAAAATTCCAAACGTTATTTATATCAGTACTGGTGAGGTTCAAAAAATTATATATTGAGAATGAACTTAGAAAGGTGATAAAAATAGAGGCGATAAAGCTGAGGCTTTGGGAATTAAAAGTGTTTTAGAGAAGTATTATTGTGAAGATAAGCTTTTGGATGTCATTCGGCTTAGGTCTCAGGCTATGAGGAGTGTGCATATTACAGTGCTGATGAGAATTGTGCGCTACTCCGTAAATGGCCTGAATCTACTGTAATACCGGACTTCATACCATTGCATTTTATTGAAGCGGGGGAGCACGTCATCTCAATACCATTACAGTCATACTCATTCTTACAATACATATGTGTCAAAGTTTGTGCTGATCTTGACCGTATGCTTTTATAGACTCCTTTGCGCGTGAAATGTTGAGCTCATAGGCAGTGGCTCGGCAAATCTCAACCCAGTCAAATTTGCGCTTACCTGGGGTTTTTCAATACGCTGATCCCGAAAATCCACTTTTGAAAGCTTGACAATGGCGAAAATGAGCGTTTTTCAATGCCCTTCCCTTTGATCTTGGACGAGTGGAGCAAGGCCGATGACGCTAAATCGTGGCAGGACCCAATAGCGTTGCGGCGGGCAGCCTCCAGTGGTGAGAAGGAAATTGCCAATTCGTCCAGATGCGTGTAAGATTGGCCTGCGCGTGTAAGTTCGAGAGCAATTTTCTCGGCAGGGAAAGCATGCTGTGCAACCGGGATTGCACTGATTTCATAGTTGGGCGATAAGGAGCCTACCGCGTTAAAATCCCGAGTTGTTGAATTTTGCCGATTGCCTTTAAATCTTGCCTACATATGTCTTCGACCCTGTAGATGGTTTTGGGCTAAATAGCCTAAAATCATATACGAAGCCAAAACAAACAAAACAACATTCTATAGGAGTCGGGCTAGTCCGCGCGATTTCGTCGCCTCGCAATTCTCCAGACAAACCAATTGTTACGAGTTCGTTGTATGCATCACATTGCATTTCAGTTGTGATGTTAGCCGGGATTAGTTCTGTCGGAGAACTGTCACAACCAAAATGCAAGGTGAACGACATGTAATGAACTCGTACCTAGTGTCTTGTTGTTAGCTGTCTTGTTGGGAGACTGCGTGGCAATAAAATTGCGTAAACTATGCCCGAGGCCTTGTGCGGTTGGAAATTCCGGGTAGATGGAAAGCCTGTTTTTGTAACACCCGTACCTAAGAAGATACCTCATGATTGTGTCTCCAATTATCGGCCATTGAGTATCACTCCAATTCTTGCTGGATTATTTAGGAAAATTGTCAAATAGCAAATACAATGACATTCAAAATCAAAGCATAATCTCAGAGCACAGAATGGATTCCAGCAGGAAAAATCAGCTGTGACTTTTATGTTACAATTTGAGTGATTTCACTTATTTATCAGAGGAGAAAAAGGTTACCAATATTGTCAACCTTAATTTTATGGAGCATTTGACAAGGTATCTCATTCATGACTACTCAAACTAAGACTAGATGGAATTCATCTTTCTGTCGTTTCGTGGGTTGCTTCCTTTCTAGATAATCGTACATTTAGTGTTTGTATTGAAGCTTTTTCTTGTCTCGAGACAATGTCTACTGTAGTCCCACAAAGTCAAGTTTTGTTTTTCATTCTCTTTGATCTCTACGCATATGAGCTTCGTCAGTTAGTGAATCATGCGTGACATGCTGTGGATTCGCCGATGACTTAAAGCTCTACAATTCAGTAGTAGGAAAGGCAGATAAGGAAAAATTGCAAGAATCATTAAACCGAGAAGTATAATAGTCTGGTATTTCTAGATTACCTTCTTACAGGAAAAATCAAAGTTCTTCACTTAGAAACCCTAGTTATTGGTTGAAATTATCGCATAAAAGGTGATTTTTGAGTTGAAGAGATAAGATATCTAGGGTTTCCAATGAATGGTCGACTTAATTTTGTCAAGCATTGCGAAATTATTGCAGCTAAGGGATCGGCATAACAATATGCTCCCAGCCAGGGTCAAGCGTGTAATGCGACTGTGCAACGGGGGTCGTACGCGGGTACCTATGGTGGGGGGGGGGGGGGTCGTAAAAGGAGGTAGTTTGGATAAAAAACCGTAAGCATGGAAGGAAATCGAATGGCAAATAATTATTATGTGTTCTTAACAATAAATTCATGGAATGCCGTGTACCAATGTATCAAATAAAAACGATTGAACAATAATTTGAAAACATTTGCAAACGTAGAAATTCACTTCATTTGCTGCACTTTTGAATGATTAGGACTTAGTTCTCTTTTTTATGAGAATTACTATTTCTCCCGCAAAATATTGTCGCAAACGGGGATCGAATTAGGGTGGCATGACTACAATCTAAAAAAATAACACCCTTAGAAGCTCACATGCTACTAAAGGTATGTATGTGTGATAAAGATGCTAGATTGGTGTAGACATCCTGCTTCCGAAGGCTCACACAAGACTCGCACACTCGACAAAAGCGCAAATTTCCATCAACGCTAATCAACAATAATTTGTAAATCTGTTTGTAATACGTTTCATACGGTCTTTACAATTTATATGTACTTTGGAGGTGATCTACTACATTTGTGCAGAATTTGGTCTTACTTTATAGCCTTCGGATTTTCTTATGATTTTCTGTATGGTGGCAAAAAATGACAAAAGGGGGGTCGTATCTGGGTCGCATCTAAATTTTTCCGGAGCTATTGAAGCTTGATGGCTGCAATGTTGCTGTAATACGAGGCCATCCTCCTACTTTCCCTCATAAAAATTGCAGGCTGTTTCATAACTTCTCTGGTAAGTCACAAAATTTTAAGCTCAAAAATCCCAGTTTTTGCTTTTTAGGATCGCATCTAAATTTTCGAGAGTCGCATCTAGATTTCTTCGAGCTCACTGCTCCTCAAGGGCTTAAACTTTTTCTATGGATAGTTTGGGTACTATGCCACAGCACTTGTTCATTGCAGCCTCTCAGTCTTTTTATGGCCCTAGTTACGAATTTTCAAACTACCGTGCTCATGCACGTTTTTGACGTCGTTCTGGACGGCGCTGAAGCGGTTTTTTTCGCAGAAAAAATTGTGAAAGAGGCAGGAAGTAAGCTTCTTAGTCGAAAACATCTTTTGTAGTTCAAGATTGTCATTTTTTCCTCCGTGCAAAAATTTGTGTCGCATACGGGAACCGAATTTGCTGGCTTGAAGTAAGCCTGAAAATTCAAAAAAAAAACTTGCAGAATCTCAAACATTATTGAAGGTGTCTATGTGTGCTACAGATGCTGGGCGCACCCATTGGCCTAAAAATTCTGCTTCCGAAATCTCACTGAAGTTCTCACGCAGATGTTTTTTTTGAGATCGGTTTAAGAAGGTCACCGCGAGGAATGTGGGCAGGGGAGGTAAGGGGGGTAGATGGGGGGGGGGGGTAGATGAGGTGGGGGGGGGTCGTAAATGGGGGTCCCGGATCTCATCAACACGCTTGACCCTGCTCCAAGCCCTTTCTAAAAGTGATGTTGACATTTTCATGCAAGCATATAAGATTTATACCAGGAGTGGTAGTAATTTGGTCGAAACCAACGAATGATGTAATAGTTCAATCATGGTTA